CTTCTCCCCCTTGGTCCTCCGTCAAGTTCCTCCTAATCCTCCTATACGTGCAAACATATGGTATTTGTCCTTCTCTGCCTGACTTATTTCGCTCAGCATAACACCCTCAAGGTCCATCCATGTTGCTACATAGGCCATAACTTTTTAGATACAACCCTGAAGTCATGATCCAGGAAAGAAATAATGGGTAAGTTAGACTTCATTAAAATTATTTTCTTCTGCTCTGTGAAAGACACTAACTGTCAAGTGAATAAAAAGATAAGCAACAGTGATAAAAGATTTGCAAAAGACCTATCTGATAAAGGACTACTATCCAAAATATACAAAGAACTCCTAAAACCTATCAATAAGAAAACAAGCAACCTGATTTTAAAATGGGCCAAAGATGGGGTGCTTGAGTGGCTCACTTGGTTTAGCATCTGACTCTTGGTTTCAGCTCAGGTCACGGTCTTGAGTTTTCATGAGTTTGGGCCCACGTGGGGCTCTGCACTGGTGACACAAAGCCTGCTTGGAATTTCTCTCTCCATCTCTCTGCCCCTTCCCCACTCACCCTGTCTCTGTCTCTCTCAAACTAAAAATAACTTTAAAAAATAAAATAAAGTAAAACAGGCCAAAGACATGAAGACACCTCACTAAAAATTATATACAGATGACAAATAAGCACATGAAAAGGTGTTCCACATCATATGTCATCAGGAAAATGGATTCCTAAACAACAACAAGTTATTACTACACACCTATTAAAATGGTCAAAATCTGGAATATTGATAACACCAAATGCTGGTTAGGATGTGAGCAACAGGAATTCTCATTCATTGCTTGTGGGGATGAAAAATAGTATAGCCACTTTTGAGGACAGCTTGGAAATTACTATAAAGCTAAGCATACTCTTGACATATTATCTAGCAACTATGCTTCTTGATATTTATTCAATAAAATTTATGTGCACACAAAACCTATAAAACATCTATAAACCACATAGATGTTTATAGCTGTGTTATTCATACTTAACAAAACCTGGAAACAAGTCCTTCAGTGGGTGAATAGATGAATAAACTCTGATTCATTCAGACAACTGAATACTATTCAGCACTATTCAGCACTAAAAAGAGATCTAATAAGCAAATTTGGCAAAATTTCAGGGTATAAGATCAACCCCCAAAATCAACTGTATTTTATACATCAGCAATCAACAGTCCATAGAAGTCAGGAAAGCAAGTACATTTATAATAGCATCTAAAAATGAAATACTTAGAAATAAATATAACCAAGGAGATAAAAGACCTGTGCAATGAAAGCTATAACACATAAAAGAAATTAAAGATCTAAGTAGAGGGAAATTGTCCCATGGTCATAGGAAGACTTACCCATCATTAAGATGCTAAGGCTACACAAAGTAATCTACAGATTCAGTGCAAATCCTATCAAACTCCCAATCTTTTTTGCAGGAATAGGAAAATCCACCCTAAAATTCATATGAAAGTTCAGGGGACTCCAAATGAACAAAACAATCATGAAAAAGAATAAAACTGGAATATTTGTTCTTCCTGAGTAGTTTTGAACTGAGGAAGTATCATACTAGCATAAAGATAAGGACAGTTACATAGATGAACAGAATGGAATAGAGGGCCCAGAAATAAACCCTTGCATATATGGGCAGCTGCTTTTCAACGGTTGGTTGAAACAGTCTAGAGTGCCAAGACCATTCAATGGAGAAAGGACAGTCTTTTCAAAAACAAAAACAAAATAAAAAACAGTGCTGGGATAATTGGATATTATCCAATTGGGAGAAATCTTGATGACATTGGGTTGATATGAGTCCAAAGCACAGGCAACAAGAGAAAAACTAAATAAATTGGACTTCATTAAAATTAAGAACTTTTGTGTACCAAAGAATACTACGAAAGAAAAAAGACAACCTACAGAATAGGATAAAATATTTGCAAATGATATATCTGACAAGAGACTAATATCCAGAATATATAACAATCCCCTACAGCTCAGCAAAGAAAACAAAAACAAAAGAAAAAAAAACAATTCAAAAATAGGTAAAGGACTTCAGTAGACATTTCTTCAAAGAAAAGATGCTCCACATCACTAGTCACCATGGAACTGTAAATGAAAACCACAATCAGATAACACTTCACACCTCCTAGGATGGCTATAATCAAAGAGGGAAAATAAGTGTTGGTGAGGATGTGGAGAAACTGGAATTATTGTGTATCACAGTGGGAATGTAAAGTGGTATAAACCACTATGGAAATAAGTTTGAGAATTCCTCAAAAATTTAAAGGGAATTAACATATGATCTAGAAATTCTACTCCTAGATATATCTCCAAAATCATTGAAAGCAGAGACTTCAACAGATACTTGTAAACCAGTGTTCATAACAGCATTATTCACAAGGTGGAAAATACCCAAGTATTCATCAAAGATGAATAAATAAATAAAATATAATACATATAATTCAGCCACATAAAGGAATGAAATTTTAATAATGCTTCCACATGGATGTATTTTGAAAATATTATGTTAAGGGGGAAATAAGCCAGACACAGAAGGACAAATATTGTATGATTCCACTTATATGCTGTACCTAGAATAGACAAATTCATAGAGGCAGAAAGCAGAACAGAGGTTACCAGGAATCAAAGGGAGGGATGAAGGGAAATTGTTTAATGAGTACAGATATATTGGGGATGATGAAAAAGATATTGGTATAGGTGATGTTGAGTACACAGCATTGTGAATGTAACTGAATTATACAATTAAATAATGCCACTGAATTATACAATTAAAATGGCTTAAATGATAAATTATCATGCATATTTTACCACAATGAAAAAAAGCCAGAAATTAGAGACTATTAAAAATGAATAAAATAGATTGAGGAAGTTCCTTTCTTTTCTAGCTTACTATGAATCTTAATTATTAATGGGTGTTGAATTCTATCTCATGACTTGCACACATCTATGAAAATGATTTTCTAATCTTTGCTTTTTTCTGTTAATGTGGTGAATTATATTGGTTGATTTTTTAAGGGTGGTTCATCTTTTTTTTCTCATTAGTAGACATTATTTTTTTCAGAACAGTTGAGGTTTACAGATGAATCGATAAATGGGTTTTCACATGCACCCTGTTCCCCCTCACACAATTTCCCCTTGCATTCTCGCATTCACGTGATACATTGGTTATAAGTGACAAACCTACATTGATAGATTTTTTTATATTTGATGTTTTTATTTTAGGCTGCAAAAGCAAAAACAAGCAAACAAACAATAACAGCAAAAAACTTGAAATAGGCTTGTCAAATGATGTAAATTCATCCTTTCTAGGGAAGCAGAAGGTAGACCCTACCATAAAGAAAAATGCTTAGTTAATGGTTAACCTCCATTAAAAATTACATTTAAAAGTACAGTTAAAATAATGATAGCGCACGTGCTCTCTGTCTCAAATAAAACAATAAATACAAATAAATACAAAAACGAAAGTAGTTGAGACAAATATATGGTTAAGAATTTCCAGCTGTTGACTGGGGCTTCAATCACCTGAAGGCTCTCTGGGGCTAGAGGGTCTGCTTCCAAGATGACTCATTCATATGGCTGTTGACAGTTCCTCACTACATGGTTCTCTCCACAGGACTTCGTAAATGTCCTCCTGACAACATAATGTCTGGCTTCGCCTACATCAAATAATCTGAGAGAGAGCAAAATAGAAACCACAATGTCTTTTATGAATTAGTCTCAGAAGTCATACTCTGTTTCTGTGGTGAATAGGTCAGCCCTACTCATTGTGGGAGGGGACTAGACAATTTTGTGATTACTAGGAGGTAGGGATCATTTGGGGCCATTTAGGAGGCTGGATACCACACCATATACCCATGAACAATAGAAGTGTAGTCATACACTGGAAACTTTATAGTAATGAAAACAAATGAAGTACAGTTATACACAGCAATGTTGATGAATCTTAAAAATATAATCAGTGACAGAAGCCAGATAAAAATAACACAGAATATATTACTACACTCATATGAAGTATTAAAAAGGCAAAATTAAACTATAGTATTTAGGATTCCATTATTAGGTAATAAAATCACAAAGAATAGGAAAATAAATACTTACCTTAGGGAGGAATTGAGCCTTGGTAGTGGCACATAACTGACATCTGGAGTGCTGGGTTTCGGCTACATGTTTGTTAACTTTATCATAATTCGCTGAGCTGTACATTTATGTTCATACATATTTTATATATGTTTGATGTATTTAACAATTTGAAAGTTTTTTTTTAAATTTTACTTGGACATTATTTTGGGACTCATTACAAAATTAAAATCAGTATTATTGATTATACTTTTTATAAAGTATTTTAACCCCAACTAATTCCATTTGCAATAATCTCCAATTGTGTGATCATACATATAAGTGCATCCTATCAATTAGGAATGGCTACAATATTAATACCATGTTTTCAAAGGCTATAATATCCCATTCCTCCAGTGAATGCCTTCACATTTGTGTTTTATATATATGAATTTTTTTTCCTTTGGGATGAAGATTCCCTAGTTATGAGACTAGTTGTAGAGATGCTACCATAAACACACATGTACACACACACACACACACACACATACACACACTCACACCTGGAGAAGGAACCACACCCACATTTATGAGCATAGTTTCAGGACAGTGGAACATTAGGATTCATATAAATTAGCTTTGGCAAAGTAAGTGTATGACCTTGCTGTGATTATCTGACCCTCAGTAATTTTTACAAACTATAGGCAATAAGACCATATTTCATGTGGAAGTAAATCTATTAAAATATTTAACAAAGTGACATATACTAAAAGATAAAGGGCTTTGGGATTACATTGTCTTTTGTATTAACATATATTCTCTCTTCCATTGGTATAGACAATTGGAATGGGATTTATTTATCTTATCAAATACGGGGCCCTTTCTGTTACTCACCTGTCAAATCTTACCTTTCTTAGGTAATGACATACACCAGGAGCATCAAGGGATTATTGGCTACTACATTCCAAAACAGGACATCTGCTGGGGAAAGGTGATTATAGAAATCTAGTCTTCTAGCAGTATGTATAAAAGAGGACTGATAGAAGGAGGCATTGGGATTCAAGCATGTGGAATGGGAGCCTGACACTGGCAGAGGAGAAGAAACTTCATGTTACTTTTCAGAGGCCCCTGTAGTTTGACTGAGAGTTCTGACCCTTATTAATTCTATCATTCTATCATATCAAGAGAATAAGAATGAAAAACTGCCTCCTCTCTATTTTTCAACTATCTTTCCTTCTACTTTCTATCTTCCTCCTTCTGTGTCTTTTTGTTGCTAAGCATAAACCTGGCAGGAGTTGGGGAATGATTGGGTGGGGAAAAGGGTCATCTGAGGATATTACAATGGTAATACATCATTTTTTTCTATTAAAGGTGTTTAGTATTTTGGAAGAAGCTAAAGCGCTATTCAATCTAGAAGACTATTCTGTCAGTCAGATAACACTGGAACAAATCTTCCTGACTATTGCTAATACTGATACAAAACAGGAAATACTCAAATAAATCTGCTATGAGATTCAGTTCCAATCAGTGACCGGTATGTCTTTCTTAGATTGCTGTCTGCGATTAGATACTAATTACTATTAGACACACAGGCAGACTTCTCCCTCTCCCTCTGTGTCTTTCTGTGTGTGTGTCCATGTGTATATACAAATTGAACCCCCAAAGAAGAAAATGTGTAGATTTAAGATTAAGATTAAAATAAGTGACCTGTTGTGAATAACTAAGATTTTACACTTGAAAGCTATCATGTTGGCTTACCACAGTTTCATGAATACTGGCAGAACACACTGGAATCCTGGGTCAGAGATAGGAATTTATTACAGCAATAGCAGTATTCAGAGATTATATTTGTGCCAGTTCTTTAATCCCTAATTTTAACTTATTTTTTAAAGTGTTTATTTCTGAGAGAGAGAGAGACAGTGTGAGCAGGGGAGGGGCATAGAGAGAGGGAGACATAGAATCCCAAGCAGGCTCCAGGCTCCAAGCTGTGAGCACAGAGCCCAACACAAGGCTTGAACTCGAGGACTACCAGATCATGACCTGAGCCAAAGTCAAATGTTTAACCGACTGAGCCACTGAGGCACCCCAATCTCTAATTTTTATAAGGCAACATAAAGAGAGCCAGGTAATGCCTGTACATTCAGTGGGTTGTGTTACAGAAGAGGAACTTTGGGCTTATGGAATCCAAATATTTTCTAATGGGCCATAAATAAACCTGCCCTACCTTGGCTCTGGAAGGCAACATTCTTAGTTTACTAAACATTAAGTAAATGTTTCCTCTGATACAGAGGGAAATATGGTCTCTTTTCAAGGCTGTTTGCTCTACAATCATCCTTGAAAAAACAGTCCAAAGCAAAAGGGCATTAGTGCTTCTGTTTGCAAGTCATGCAGAAATGCAAGAGACCCATGAAGAATTGTCTCCCAATAAATATTTGCCCCTTATTTCCACACCATCTTGGCTTCTGGAAAATTTCTTCTTGAGTATCCCACCCCATCAGCCACTCTGGTTAATCTAAGATTGGGACTGAATTTAATTTGTCTCATACAATTTTTGACTATGTATAGACATAAGTAAATAGGCCCAAGAAAAAATAGAAAACTTAAGCTGATTAATAATAGTTTTTTAATAAAAATGTTAATTGGGGGCACCTGGGTGACTCAATCAGTTAAGCGTCAGACTTCGGCTCAGGTCATGATCTCATGGTTCATGAGTTTGAGCCCCGAGTCAGGCTCTGTGCTGACATCTCAGAGCCTCGAGCCTGCTTCAGATTCTGTGTTTCCCTCTCTCTCTCTCTGCCCCTCCCCCCATTCATGCTCTGTCTCTCTCCTTCAGAAATAAACATTTAAAATTTTTTAAAAAAAAGAAAATGTTAATCAGAACTCATCCCATCTGACTCTCCAGAAAAAGGCCCAGTTGAGTTTAACTACTTTCAAGGAATCTCTGTATTTTATAAATTGTTCCTGAAAATATAAGAACTGCAAAATTGATACCATTTTATGAGGTCATATAACCTTGATACTAACAATCATATAAACTTGATACTGGATAAGCATAAATTAAGAAAACTTTTAATTCTATTTCACTTATGAAAATAGATTTGGGCAGATTGCTTTCTAAACCTTCTGTCCATCATCATCCTGGTATTTCATTTTCTTACACTCCTGGGTTCTACTTTTTTTAGTATACTGTATCTTCCTCTTTCTTGATTTTTGTCCTCTTTTTGCTAAGGTGAAACCACAAATAACTTTCTAGGCAAGAGGAGGGAATTTCTGAGTAATTGCCTGGCTGAAAATGTTTCTTTGTACTTCACACTGCTGGGACAGAATGTCTGGGTATAGAATTCTACTCTAAATAGTGCATTTTCTCAGAACATTGAAGACATTATCCCAGTCTCCTAACAGAGATTGCTAATTAGCATTCCTTTGTAGTTAAACAGGTCCCACCCCAAACATGAACACACCCAGCTCTCCCATCTCCCCAAGATTTTTTCCCTTTATGCTTGGGGTTCATACCATGAAGATCTTGGTGTAGGTCTTGTTGCATTCATCCTGTTACCCAAGAGACTCCTTCAAGCTCAAGTCTTTCTCGAGTTTTGAGGAAATGTTTTCAATTATTTATTTAGTGGTTGCTCCCCCTCTATCTTCCCCTGTTCTCTTTTTCTGTATTTACTATTATGCAAATGTGAGATCTCCCACATTAGTGATTTAAGTCCCTTACGTTTTCTGCCATATTTCTTTTGTTCTTTCTGTATCCTCAGAGAGGGCCTCTGTTTTGTCTTCCAGCCCTTATCTTATTTCTTTTAAGCAATGGAATTTTTCATTTCAAAGGGTTCTTGTCCCACTAATGGCTGCTTTTTAAAAAAGCATCTTCTGGTTTTATGCATTGCAGGCTTTTCGAATACCTGAGGATTCTACACTTGGAGACATCTGGGTGCTGTACCCTACCTGACTGGAACAACTATTCTAGACACTTTTAAATTTTTCATATTTTCCCTATATTTTTAAGATTTCCAAATCACATGCCTACTCCAAGCTGTGGGCTTCTCCAGGACCCTTCTGAGAAAATCTGCACCCAAATCTCGTGTATCCCCTCTTGCTTGCTTGGTGACAAAGTCTCTTGTTTTCATTTCTCACCACATTTCCATCTGCTTTCTAACTTGCAGTCTTTTATACTGTTAATCTACTCATGACCCTTGCCTTTTGTTTCCCTTTTTTGTTAGAGGTTTATTTCCATTCCATTCATTTTAGGGGAAAGAAGCACCATGTCCTCTGAAATCCGAAGAATAAGATTTAAGCTAGAGAAGAAAACACACACAGACACACACACACACACACACACCATATTCAATCGCTAAAGCTTACGTTGATAATAAACTCAAGAGCATACATTAATCAAGGACGGGTAGGGCTAACCAGTGTAAAGGGATAAAGAGGGCATGGCGCAGGAAGTCCTGATGAGAAGGAGACTTGTTGCAGGAAATAAAGAACACGGGGTGCCTGGGTGGCTCACTCTGTTGAGCACCCACTTCCACTCAGGTCATGATCTCACTGTTCCATTGGGGAGTTTTAGCCCTGCCTCTGGCTCTTCGCTGTCAGCACAGAGCCTGCTTGGGATCCTCAGTCCTCTGCTCTCTCTCTGCCCCTCCCCCTCTCTCACATGCGTGCATGATCTCTCTCTAAAAAAAAAAAAGAAAAAGAAAAAAAACATTAAAAACTAAAACAAAACAAAACAGGAAAGAAATAGAGAACACGTCAGTAAAAAGGCTGACAAAAAACGGTGGGAGACGGAGGGCGTAGGGTGCAAGGGTAGGGAGAGGACAAGCCAAAGTAAAGCAAGAGGAAGTGGGGTTATGGAACATACAGGCTGGAGGGGCTGAGGGCAGTGGGACACCAAAACCCGAGCCCGAAAGAGGCTGGCCTAATGCAGGGAAGGGGCGGGCGCCTGCGTGAGGGTGGAGGGGCAGGGTGTGGGGACACGCGCTGGGACGGAAGGGGCGGAGGCCCAGGAGGAGTCGGGGAGAGAGGCTGAGGTTGAGGGAGCGCGGCGCACACGCTGCAGGGTCAGTGGGGGTACACCACTGAGGCTGAGGGAAGGCGGGGGCACGCGCTGGGGGGGCGCGGGCAGGGAGTAGGGATGCACGCGCTGGAGCTTCCAAGGTGTGGGGATACACCTGTTGGGGCTGAGGGAGCGCGGCGCACGCGCTGGGGGCGGGGTCTGGAGTGGGGATGCACTTACACGGGGTTCAGGGTGTGGAGATTCACCTGCTGTGGATGAGTGAGCGCGGCGCGCGCGCTGAGGGGCCAGGGAGTGGGGGATACAGGCGCGGGGCCTGAGGGAGACGGGCGCACGCGCAGGTGGCTGAGGGGAGGGCCGCCGGCGTGGAGGTTTGGAGACGGCGGGCGGCGCGCTGGGTTTTGAGCGCAGCCAGAACCGCGGGAGCGAGGTGTCTTGGGTGAGTATCGCCATTGGCTGGGGCGCTGCTGGCCGGGAGAGTCGCGCGCCGCCCAGGGCAGGTGATGGTCGTGGGACGGAGGGAGGCGCGAGCCCCTCGCCCAGTTCTCTGCGGAAGGCAGCTGTGGCGCCCGCTGCCAGGGAGACTCGGAGCCGTGTGGCGAGTGCCGGCAGGCCCCTTGCCTGGAGCTCCTTCCCTCCCATCAAATCTGGGTGCACACAGGGCCTTCGACCCCACCTTGCTGAAGGCCTGAAGTCCAACGTGATGGGTCAAAGTGTGCCCTGGCTTTGTAAAGTTCTGGAAAATTTAGGTTGATTCCTGAAATTCGGCGAAAAATTTGAAATGACTTTTTCCTCTTTACCCAGTCAGGACTGAAGTCACTGTGTACCATCTAATTTGATTTCTACTTGAAAATGACCTGTGTATGTTTTGTTTCAGTGTTAAAATATAGTTTGTGCGTGCAGTGACTATAAATTAAGTAATTTTATTTTGAACAGCTTGTATTTAAAAACGTAATTTTTAAAAATGTTTATTTATTTTGAGAGAGGGAAAAGGGAGGGACAGAGAGAGAGACAGACAGACAGAATACCAAGCAGGCTCCAGACCATTTTTAAAGAAAGAAGTGGCAAAACCTACTGGCAATCTGTGGGGGGAGTAAATGATAAAAGAACAGCCACATGGGTCTGTACTTGGGGAACCATGAACAGAGTTAAGGAAGTTGAGAAGTTGAATTTGTCAGCAAAATCTTGTGCCTTACTGGCTTTCTCATGGCCCATGGTTTTGTTAGTAAGCCTCAAAATGGAAGTCCAACTACATTGTAAAATGTCAGAACAAGAGCTACTGAGACCAGGGCTTTCCCGGAGAATCCAATACAATGGTCACTGGAAATATAAAGGTTCTGCCCTTCCACCACCATCACAGATACTAGATTGAACAGTGAGTATATTCAAATCTTTACCTTAACCAACCCAACAAAACTGAGTAAGCTCTCTCTTTGGACACTTTGATGATTCAGAGAGAGAGAGAGATCCTCCTGCCTAGAGTTTAGTCTTTAAGAAAAAGCATAAATAGATATAAAAGATACCAAAGTTGCATATCCCATAACACGGGAAAAAAGCAGTGTGTGTTAGGAAGAAATTCATTCACTCCTTTTTTCAGAATATTGAACACATACTCTATGCCAAACACTGCTAAACACTGAACACCTAGTAAAGAACTCCACAGAAGAAGTGTCCCTTTCCTGGTTTTATATTTTAGTAACAAAGATAATAAACAAGATACAGATTGATAAATGCCATAAGAGAAATAAAGTGATAAGAGAGAGTAAGAGTTGGCCAGTCTTGGAAATCTAATACACTCAAGTTCATAGAGGTAAATAGTTCCTACTAAGTAGTTTATACAGTTAACTAGAATTATAACTCAAGCCCATGGAATCACTGGAAATTTTCCAGTTTCTCTTTACTGCATATCCAGTTAATTTCCTGCAACATTTGGAAAGATGACATTTCTTTTGATGCTGCCATTCCTAAGAATACATCAGATTTTTTTGTACAGGTTTTGTAAGAAAGATATACAGAAGCGTGAATATAAAAAACAGGGTTTGGTTGGGGGAGTTTTTTCTTAGGCAGGAGGATTATTATTCAATGAGCTGTGTGCTAGATAGATATTTTTCTACTCTTAGAGATGGGGAATGGGAGGCATTGACCTTTGTAGCTATTTTTTTAAGTTCTATTCTTTTTAGTTGTTATCTCTGCATGGAATAATGTGTGTGTGAAAGAGTAATATAAAAATAGGAGTATAGCATTTCTGATTTGATTCCAGTAAACATTTTGTTGGGCATTCTACATTTCTCCTCTTTAGTCTTTACCAGTGGTGAATTGCTTCTTCAAATAGAAGAATGGCAGTGGTGTTTAAGCAGATTACATTTCTTCTTAGGGAGAATTTTGCTTTAAAAATAAATATACTTAGGGGCGCCTGGGTGGCTTAGTCGGTTAAGCGTCCGACTTTCGCTTAGGTCATGATCTCGCGGTTCGTGGGTTCGAGCCCCGCGTCGGGCTCTGTGCTGACTGCCAGCTCAGAGCCTGGAGCCTGTTTCAGTCTGTGACTCCCTCTCTCTCTGACCCTCCCCTGCTCACGCTGTCTCTCTCTCTCTCTCTCCTAGAAATAAATAAAAATATAAAAAATAAAAAAAAAATAAATATACTTAGGGGTGCCTGTCTGGCTCAGTTAACACCCAACTCTTGATTTCTGTCAGTTAAACATCTAACTCTTGATTTTGGCTCAGGCCATGATCTCACGGTTTGTGGGATCAAGTTATGCTTAGGGCTCTGCACTGACAGCGTGAAGCCTGCTTGAGATATTCTCTCTCTCTCTCTCTCTCTCTCTCTCTCTCTCTCTCTCTCTCTCTCCCTCTCCCTCCCTCCCTCCCTCTCCCCCCGCCTTCTGCCTCTCCCTGTCCCATACCCTGCTCACATGCTCACTTTCTCTCTCTCTTAAAATAAATTTAAAAACTTAAAAAGTAGAGTATACTCATCTAAAAAATAAGGGGGGACTTAATACCTGATGAGTAAATATGTTATAGTAACTGATACTTTCTATTTCAGGATCATAGATTCAAAACGAGCATTTGGATCATCAAAAAATCAAACACACACTAGAGTTAGGGAGCTGTTAGTATGTTCTTTAGAAAGGTGGTGATTGGCATATATATTTGTAAGTCCAGAAATCCACTTTGGTTAAAGGTTAGAAAAGGAAGTAAGAATACCACTAATAAGAGTAAGTCAAGGCAAACATTTGATCAGATGTGACCAGCATATGGGTTTCAGGAAGACACAAATACTGAATAATGCAGTACTCACACAGACATAAATACTGATAATGCAAACCAAAAAGAAGTCTGATGAGACAGGATCCAGCTTCCACAGGAATTGGAATAGGTGGGCAAAATGTCCTGGAGAACAGACACAACATACTAACCTCAGAAAGTTTGAGAATTAACAGTCTTTTGCCAAAATAGTTTCCAAATACTTCCCCTTTGGTCATCAGAAAGCTTAGGGGGGGGTGCGGGGGGCAGGGGCCTGGGTGGCTCCATTGGTGGAGTATCTGACTTTGGCCTAGGTCATGATCTTGCCATTCCCAAGTTCGAGCCCCATGTCAGGCTCTGTGCTGACAGACTGGAGCCTACTTTGGATTCTGTGTCTCCCTCTCTCTCTCTGTCCCTCCCCTACTCATGTCTCTCTGTCTCTCAAAAATAAATAGACATTTAAAAAAATTTTGTTTAAGAAAGCACCTTAGGGGGAATAGCTGATTGAAGTGTGGAGTGACTAAACAAGAAAGACAGCTTTTGGCAAGAAGATACTGACACTTTTGAGTACATGGAGCATTAGGTATTAAGGAGTGAGGGAGGAAGGGATAACAAAACCTTGATGTGACATTAAACACTATGTTCTTGTGTCTTTCATTTTGTTTCAGAAGCAACAGTGGATTCTTCTAATCAGGGAATTTATACTGGAATTGCTGTTTACTGTCATTCTCTTGGTATTTTGAAATTCTGGTTCTATAAAGCATATGGATGCTTTCACAGTTGCAAATCAGTCCCTCCAGAGTCCGCCTTCTTATTTCCTTAATACCAGTGTCTAAAGAAACTGGGAACTGGTTTATATAATTTCCAAAAATGAAGTACTGAAAAATCTAACTAAAATGACACAACAGATTTTATTAAATATTAAAAGAAGCTATTAACAGTTATATTCTATATGGCAGTTCGTTTCTTTAAGTAATTTTAAGTTTACTTTATACTTGGCCCTCATTATTTTAAGCAACCCAAGAGAGAATTAGTTACCTCATGAGTAAAAAAAAAAAAAAAAAGACAAATTAGGATGTGACCCATAAAATGAGGAATTTTAATTAAATTGTTGGTGCAGATCCTTACTTAGATTTTACATCTTCTTGTCTATGGTCGTGGGGCCAACAATGGATGATGCTTAACTGTAGACAACAGTTGAAATTCTCCAAATGAAAGTTGACTCTGCAAGTGAGGAGTTTTACAGAAAATCAGGAAACTGAAGTTTTGCCATCTGTGGCAAACAAAAGGAAAAGCACAACAGTGGCTTAACAAATTTGTCTCTGTAAAGTTGTCTGATACGTCTCATTCCCGCAGATAGAGTATCAGATATTATTGCCTTTATGTTGAAAGCTTACTTCTTGGATTTTCTCCCTTCATAGTTCGTTTCCTCAGAGGAAATTTTTAAATACATTAAATATTATAAGGATTCTGTGTGATGGCTGCTGTTGTATTTGACCAGGACTTCGAACATAATAATGATTCCTTACCACTTAAGGTGAACACTTAATTTAAAATGTCCCCAGGGTTATAATAAGAATTTAATTATCAGATCTAGAATTGCTCATTGGAATTTAACTGCTTCATTAATCAACATATTTACTCTCACAGTATCTCCGCCAAGACCAGAATTGACAAGTTTTGGTTGATCTAGTTAAGAACCCACATGATCTTTGGTAGTTGAGGTCTGGGAACCAGTATTTTTTCTGACGAGGAACTGCTTTGAATTTTTCTGAAATTTTGTGATTACTGGGTAAGTGAGTGAACATGGCACCAACGATTTAGCAGGGGGATCTTCTGTGGATTTCATGAAGCACTAGACAGATGGTTAGAGGATGTGAAATTAATGGCTGTCTAGGTCAGCTATTGAAAAATCTTCAAAGCTCCTGAGCAGTTACTGTCAACTTATCAAGGAGGATGTGTTTGGTACTTCATCTGCCTAAATGGAGGTCTAGCAGAAACAGCTACCTTCTCAAGATTCCAAAGTTCTCATTCTTTTCTTCTCATAGTCTGGTTTACAATAACAGATTCAGTGGCTTGAAATCATTTCATTCATTCCCCATACTGGTGGAGTATCTGCTATGTTCCAGGAGACACAGTAGGTATTCAGGGATGAAGGCCCTTATTCAGTGATGAACAAAACAAGCTTATCTCGTGGCTGTCCTTCTAGTGGAGAGGGAAGTGGATACACAAATAAGCTATTATCAGTATTAACTCTAGTAACTAATATTAGCAATTGTGATGACTAATTATTTTGTGTGTTAATAATTAAGGTGCTATGAACAGGAAGAAACAATTGTGCTGTGAGGAAGACTATCAAAAAATGACTCTGGAAAGGTGGCATTTAAACTGAGAGGTAAAGGGTAAGAAGATACCAGCCAGCTAGCAGAGGTCAAGTTCAGGAGTACCTTCCAGCTGGAGAGAGTATCACTTGTTCAGCCCCTGAGGCTGGAAAAAAGATTGATGTGATTAGATCATCTGACATCTAGAGGTGAAGCAAAAGGAATGTTGGAAAGGTATGCAAAAGCATTGTAGGCCTTGATAAGAGTTTACATTTTATTCCAAGTACAATCAAAAGTCATTAGAAGAGATTTACCAGAAGAGCACTTCTTTTTAACACCAAGCATATAATACCTACAACAAACACTTAATGGGAATTTGTTGTTAGTTGTGCCAAATTTAATTCGGTAGTCTCATGTTAGACTATCGGTTGGTCCTTAGTACTATCCTGAGAGGAGATTTAATACAGTGGCAGGGATAAGAGCCAAATTTTGTAGAATTAAATAATAGATAAATATAAAAATAAAAAAGTAAATGTAGTCATTTTACTCTACTTAACTAGCTTTTGATAAAAGGTATATGTGGGGCACCTGGGTGGCTCACTTAAGCCTCCGACTTCAGCTCAGGTCATGATCTCACAGTTCGTGGGTTCGAGCCCTGCGTCAGGCTCTGTGCTGACAGCCAGCTCAGAGTCTAGAGCCTGTTTCAGATTCTGTATCTCCCTCTCTCTCTGACCCTCCCCTGCTCATGCTGTCTCTCTCTCTCTCAGAAATAAATAAAACAAAAAAGGGATATGTATTTTAAAAGCATTTTTATTGCCATCCTTATTCACATTATATTTTCAAGTATGAACTACTTCCTCTAATATGGTGCCCTGGGGTCACATACCTTCTGTTTGTGCTAGCCAGTCTTACTTCATTTGTACTTAATACTCTAGTCTGATTTTCTCTTTGATGCTATATATCCCTGGTTTTAAAGCAATGACAGAATATCCAGGTGGATTTAAGTGGCAAATATTAAAATTGTAAAGTTAAGTTTCTGTTCCTTGAACCTCCTAATTCTCTTGATTATTTCTGTCTGCCCTGCTAAAATATAAAGTCTTATTCATCTTTCCACACTTCACATTATATAGTATACTGCTTCAAGCATGGTTGGTTTAGCATTAATATATATTTTTTAAGCAAAATTAATTTTTCTGCTACTGATACTTTTCCCAATTTATTTTATGATGGCAAGATACACATAACATAAAACATATTCTCTTAACCACTTTAAGTGTACAATTCAATAGTATTAAATACATTCTAATGTGTGTACAATTCATACAATTGTAATGCATATCATACCTTACAATTATTCATCTCCATATTATTTTCAACTTGGAAAATATTTATTTCAGGGCATCTGGGTGGCCCAGTCAGTTGAGCGTCCGACTTCAGTTCAGGTCATGATCTCATGGCTCATGGTTTTGAGCTATGCGTGGGGCTCTGTGCTGACACCTCAGAGACTGGAGCTTGCTTCACATTCTGTGCCTCCCTCTCTCTGCCCCTCCCTCACTCACACTCTGTCTTTCCCTCTCTGTCTCTCTCTCTCAAAAATAAACATTAAAATTTTTTTAAAAGAAAATATTTATTTCAGCTTAGAAAATATACCCCAGATCAAAACTACAATGAGTGTCTGCACCAGTTTGCATTCCCACAAACACTGCAAAAGGGTTCCCCTTTCTCCACATCCTCACCAACATCTGTTGTTTCCTGAGTTGTTAATTTTAGCCACTCGTGTCTCAGTGTGGTTTTGATTTGCATTTCCCTGATGATGAGTGATGTTGAGTATCTTTTCCTGTGCTGTTAGCCATCTGGATGTCTTCTTTGGAAAAGTGTCTATTCATGTCTTCTGCCCATTTCTTCACTGGATTATTTAGTTTTTGGGTATTGAGTTTGATAAGTTCTTAATAGATTTTGGATACTAGCCCTTTATCTGATGTGTCATTTGCAAATATACTCTCAGATTCTATAGGCTACCTTTTAGTTTTGTTACTTGTTTCCTTTGCTGTGCAGAAGCTTTTTATCTTGATGAGGTCCCAGCAGTTCGTATTTGCTTTTCTTTTACTTGCCTTCAGCGACCTGTCTAGTAAGAATTTGCTCCAACTGAGATTAAAGATGTTGCTGCCTGTGTTCTCCTCTAGGATTTTGATGATTTCCTGTCTCACATTTAGGTCTTTCATCTATTTTGAATTTATTTTTGTGTATGGTATAAGAAAGTGGTCCAGTTTCATTGTTTCACATGTTGCTTGCTGTCCAGTTTTCCCAACACTATTTTTTGAAGAAACTGTCTTTTTTCCATTGGATATTCTTTCCTGCTTTGTCAAAGATTAGTTGACCATACAGTTGTAGGTGCATTTCTGGGTTTTCTGTTCTGTTTCATTGATCTATGTGTCTGGGTTTGTGCCACCTAGACTATCATACTGTCTTGATGACTACAGATTTGTGTAATATAGCTTGACATAGTTTTTAAAGCTGTAAGAAACCATCAGCACACCAACACACATGTCATAGGAATTCCATTCCAGGAGGAGAGAGAAAGGGGCAGATCAAATATTCAAAGAAATAATGGCTTTAAACTTCCCAGATTTGTAAAAAACATAAATAAATAACCTACACGTTCAAGAAGCTTAGTATAGGATAAATGTTGAGAACTTTAGGTAGGACTGCCTTGCCAGCACAACCTTTCCCTCAACCGTTTGTACTTGAAGGAAAGCATGTTTCAACCAAGGTGAATGTTTCTCAGCAAGAGGTCCTGATTATCCATTCCAACCAGATTCCCACCTATGAGAACTACTCTAACCTGATCAGTCCCTCTACAGCCTTCAACCTTTTTAATTTTATTTTTTATTTCTCTGTGGTTCTGAG